AGTGGGAGGGCTTCTAGTGTCCTGGCCCCACTGGTGGACCTCCTGATAGCACCTGGTATTTTTGGCCACTGTGTGACACAGAGTGTTGGACTGGATGGGCCATTGGCCTGATCCAACATTGGCTTCTCTTATGTTCTTATGGGGGCCAAGGTCATAGTTTACCTAGGGCACCAAAAAAACCCCTTTGGGCTAGCCCTGAACGGATCACCATACCAAGTCAATTTATATTTGTGGGGTGCCATACCAAGAAGACCGGGAACTTCTGCTCTAGAATTCGGACGTGTATCAGGCAGGTTGGTTTGAGGCCGCCACACCAGAGACTGGAAACACAAACTCTTTTTCGATGCCCTTTAGGGACAACATTTGATCCAGATGAGCAAGTGGTCTTCATGCGCCAGTGTTATCTCTGCAGCCTTTTTCATTTCTTCCCCCTTTCTTTCCCCATTCCCTCCCTTCTCCGTCGTCTCTGCCACAGTTCGAAATCCGGCAGCTGAGAGCTCACCTAGCCCAGCAAGATCTGGACCTGGCTGCGGAGAGGGAAGCGGCGCTGCAGGTCCCCCATATGCTAAACAAACAGAGCAGCAACAGGTACAAAGTGGTGGCCGCGGCGGGAGATTCCGACGACGAGGTGACGGAGAACATCACTGAACTGCGACCCCCTCGAGGTGAGCAGCGGGCGCGCAGTGCAGTTGAGGGCAACTTGTGCAAGCGTTGCTGCCGAGCCACCTCCTTTGATTTCTGTAGAGGATGGGAGCCATCCTCATCAGCATTTGGAAGGCGTGGTGAAGCAGCGATTTTAATCCACAAGAATCGCACACAATCCCAAAACAGTCTGATGTGCAAAATTATACAGATGTGTGCTGGATGCCCACAGGACAATGCAATAACCAAAGAGACTAGGTTAGAGCCATAACATCATTTAGTGTCTAGTAATAAAAAAAAAAACAGGAGCTGCGGTGGCTCAAGTGGTTAAGACGCTGAACTGCAGGCTGTGGAAGGTCAGTAGTTCAGCAGTTCGAGACCTGAGTGTGCCGCATGACGGAGTGAGCTCCCGTCTCTAGTTCCAGCTCCTGCCAACCTAGCAGTTCGAAAGCAAGAAATTGTAAGTAGATAAACACTTAGGTGGGAAGGGAACAGCGTTCCGTGCGCCTTGGTGTTTAGTCATGCCGGCCACATGGCCACGGAAACGTCTTCGGACAGCGCTGGCTCTTCGGCTTTGAAACGGAGATGAGCACCGCAACCATAGAGTTGGATTCGACTGGCTTTCGAGCAAGGGAACCTTTACCTTTAATAAAAAACAACCACTTATTCCTTTATAGAAAAATACAAAGGTCGATAAGATTTCACATAGCAGCCTGCTCCAGACTCTCTCAGTCTATCTCCCTCTAACAGTCTTGTATTCTCAAAAGCAGTCTGCTCCAAATTCAATCAATCCGTGTCTCTCTTTCAACATTTTTTCCGGATATTTAAGTGTTTCAGACCTCTGGTCTTTCCTCAGGAACCCAGTCCTATATAGGAATCTCACATTCAGTCTGATATTCAAGTAGACACTTTCGTTGGTTTACTTTTCTGTTAGTCTACTTGGGCAAGGTCTCCTCCCGTATTTCCAATCCTGCTGGTGCTGCTGCCAAAGTCAAATGGACCCAGACTATGCCTCGTACAGCAATTTTGCCAGGACTGAAATGCAGGGGGACGTCCCAGGTCCAAATGGCATGATATGCCTGACTCGTGTTAGATCATAGGTGCATGACTGGACTTGCAGTTGGGTGGATGTCAAGCACTTAAGAAATACTTGGTCACTGGAAGGGGGAGAAGGAGCTTCCAATTTTCCCTCCCACCCTGCTTTCACCAGCGGAAAGAGCTGCCCTTTCCGCTGACGAAAGCAGAGTGGGAAGGAAACTGAAAGCTCCTTCCCTTCCCTCAAAGCACGGTGTGAACTAGTGATTTTTAAGGTGGGTTCCCTCAATGTACGTCTGACTGTCAACCTGGTTGCACAGCTGTGACCAGTGTTCCCTCTAAGCTGAGTTAGCGTGAGCTAGCTCACAGTTTCTTAGCCTCCAGCTCACACATTTTTGTCTTAGCTCAGGAAGGACGGCTCCAGATCGAACTGATTTTATGCAGTAGCCAAATTTCTCGCTCACAGCTTTAATGCCAGTAGCTCACGAAGTAGAATTTTTGCTCACAAGACTCCGCAGCTGAGAGGGAGGCCTTGGCTGTGACCCACCCAATATGCATGGGATGTATTGTATAAGTCACACTGTCAATGAGTTATCCTTTGAGGAATTCAACGCCCTGATTCAAGACTCTTGGTCCTGGATGTTCTAGGGTGCTTCAGTTCCTTCTCATCTCCCACTGAGATCACGGAAGCCCACACAGTCAGCAGTAGCGAGGGAAGGTATCTATCTCATTAAACAGTTCCAGAGGGGTAGCCTCTGGTGTTATTCTGCTGTAGCAAAAAGTAAAAACGAGTCTCGTGGCCCCTCAAAGGCTAAGAAGGTCTTATTCCAGCCTACATTTTTGTGGACTGGCGCCCACCTCGTCCGGCAAAGTGAGCTCTCATCCCATGGAAGTGTTTGCTGCTGTAAAATCCCGTTAGTCCTTAAGGGGCCAAAAGACTCGTGTCTTACTAGAGAAAGACTTGTGTTGTCCCCGTGGGTTGCTTCGTGCACACTTCCCATTCTACACGCCCTGAGCGTTCCTCAGTATCTGCAAACCTGGATGAGCAGAAGACTCATGATTATAAAGGGGGATTCGAGTAGGTTGTCAGGTCTGGCTAGAGAAACTCCTTAAGATTTAGAGGCCATGCCAGAGGAAGCCAGAGTTTGGGGACCAGTGGGAGCTCAGTGGAGATGGAATGTCATAGAGTCCACCCTCCAACACTGCCTCTGTAAGTCTGAAGAGCACTTGTAATTCCAGGAGAACTCCAGGCCCCACCTGGACATTGGCAACCCTAGCTTCAGGGGAGGCCAGGAAGTGATAGTTGGTGATAGACCCCAAACGTTTATTTTCTGTTGATGGTGGTGGTGGTGGGGTAGCGGCTGGTTTTAATTGTGAAATTGCTACATTGTTCAAAACGGTACGTTGGATTGCTTTCAAAACAAGCTATACCCATGGTGCACTCTTGATTAAGCACTTGCTGGTTTTCAGTGGGGAATGTTTTAAGCATGTGCGGAACTCTCCCTTTGAAATCAGTAGGGTGAGGTCCATACTCAACACATTTGAGAGCCAAAACAGCGTAGTGGTTAAGAGCAGCAGAATCTAATCTGGAGAATCAGGCACGATTCTGCATTCCTCCACCCGAAACCTGCTGGTTAACCTTCAGCCAGTCACGGTTCTCTCGGAACTCCCTCAGCCCCACCTACCTTACAAGGCGCTTGTTGTGGGGAGAGAAAGGGAAGGCAATTGTAAGCTGCTTTGAGACTCCTTAGGGTAGAGAAAGGTAAAAGTAAAGGTTTCCCTTGCTCGAAAGCCAGTCGAATCCGACTCTAGGGTTGTGGCGCTCATCTCCGTTTCCAGGCCGAAGAACCAGCGCTGTCCAAAGACGTTTCCGTGGTCATGTGGCCGGCATGACTAGACACCGAGGCACAGGGAACGCCGTTACCTTCCCACCGAAGCAGTACCTGTTTATCTACTTGCCATTTCTTGCTTTCGAACTACTAGGTTGGCAG